GAAAAAAATAAAATATAATTATATACATTTCTTTAATCTAATATAAATGACAAAATGCAGTACTACCTATCACAGCCAAATAAAGACACAAGAAAAATGTTAACCAAATTTAAAATAAGCGACCACTGTATTTTAATAGAAACTGGACGATATACAAAAATACCAAGAAACGAAAGAAAATGTAAAATATGTAATATATTAGATGATAAATTCCAATTTTTCTTTAACTGTAAAATTAATAAAAATAAAAGAGAAATCTTTCTAAAATATTATATACAAAAATATGTCAATTTTAATACACTTAACTTAACTGATTAACTCGTGATTATACTAAATCAATCAACACCAAATGATATAAAAACAGTTGTTTCTTTAATTAAAGAGTAATTAGAACCGAGGAAAGGAGACCAATAACTGTTTTAACATGTTTTCTATTATTGTCGAGTTTTTCTTATGTTTGTTTTGTCTATGTATTTGCTATGAACAAAATTGGATTTTGTTTGTTTCGCAAATAAAGAATTTGTATTATTAATCTGAAGATAATGTGTTCTTGTCCGGAATATAGTAGGTATTTGCTATGCACTGGACGTAAAGTATACAACAATCAAATCGACTACTCATGTTTGCCATATTAGCATTTGATGATTTTCAGACGGCTATGCATGCACAGTGTATTATTTGAGTAAAACCCAAAAGTCGTATTTTCAATGAGACTTTTGGTCATTTTGCAATTTGAAACCTATACAAGCACGTTGATTGGCCAAAAATAATACCTGTCGTGTTATCATTTCAATCTAAGCTTAGACGATCCAGTAATATATACTTATTTTTTTGTTTGACTTTCGAGATTCCGCCTGCGTTAAATATATATGTAAATTTTCAAAACTGATTCGAGAAGTTGTAAAACGGGTAATTGTCATTTTGAATTTAGATATATTAGTTACATATGCGCGTGAAATCCTGTGGCGGTTTAAAGAGTGTGGTTCCGTTATATCATATTAAAAAAAAATGATTGGGCTGTCAGTTCATCAAATGTACTCACAGTAACTACATTATACAGTTTACTGTTTATTATCATATGTATGAGTATTGATTATAAAGATATGAATAGATATAAGAAGATGTGGTATGAGTGCCAACGAGACAACTCTCCATCCAAGTCAAAATTTATAAAAGTAAACCATTATAGGTCAAAGTACGATCTTCAACACGGAGCCTTCGCTCACACCGAACAGCAAGCTATAAAGGGCCCCCAAAATTACTAGTGTAAAACCATTCAAACGGGAAAACCAACGGTCTAATCTATATAAAAACGATAAACGAGAAACACTTATGAAACACATCAACAAACGACAACTACTGAACATCAGATTCCTGACTTAGGACAGGTGCAAACAATTGCAGCGGGTAATTTACATTTATGATGTGTTGACATTTTTTCTAAATATTGTTATTGAACTAATTTAGATTATTATGTTATTTAAAAGTGTGGCTAGAGAAAAGACAAAGTACCCGCAACCAAATCTATATAATTAGTTATGTCTTGTTTATACGATAGAATTTAGTAAATAATTACTGTAAATTCGGACGAGCATGGCGAAGGAGAATTTATATACTGATTATGTAATACGTTGAATTTAACAGTAATTGGCAATTTCAATAAATCTGTAAATAATGTTCTTGTACTTCGTGAGATGAAAATGTAGTTGCAAACAAACACTAACATAGGCATTGTAATAAAAGTGACGAATGATGCATATACTGTAACCTCTTAACAGTTATTTAATGTCTACAGGCGCATTATGTGGAATTGTAAAAATAATGAAAAAAATACAATCTGTTATCTTGCCTTACCGTAAATTCTCCGTAAAACTTTTTCAAGAGTGCATGAAATCCTTCCATACAGTAGTGTATTCTTTTATAGTTATATGTTATACAAGCTATGCTGGTATAGCTATTATGTTTTAATCTAATAAAAATGTTTTAACCTGTGTACTTAAATATTATGGTTTTTTTTTTTAAGTTGTCACATAAAAACAGCTGTTGTACTAGAATTCTATATATCTTGAAATCGGAAGACATTATACTAATAGGATTGAGATAAGTCTTTTCAACGAATGATTTAATGGTAAAAGTTATTATCCTTGTTGTCTATTTTATTTCTCACGATGATTAAGTGTAGTTGTTAGTGCTTTGATAAATATTTTTTTTATTTCAAACGGAGTAAACGTTGAAATGTTTATATTGACTGCTTAAAATATCACATTAGGGAAAAGTTATTGTGTACTACTGCAAAGTTTTTGATATCAGCTATTTTGCTACCTTACTAACTGCACTCCACTTATAAATTGAAGATATCCTTTGCAATACTTTAAATTTAAAATACGTAGATTAAATATAAATTAATTCACCTAGAAATCGATATAAGTAAGCATAACTCTATTTATTAAAAATGATAAGCAAATGCAAGGATTAACTGTTTTTCTCTTTAATTGATAACATAATGTGTAAACGGGGCGTTATATATCAATTCACATTCCCCGATCTGTCTTTAATTCACATATTTGATTTATAATATTCTAAAACCTATATTAAAATTACAAAAAGTAGGAAATAAACAATGCATTGACTCGATAAAATGCATCAACACTTTGTGTGTATTTTTGTCTAGATGTCATCTTATTAACAACTGATATGACCTCCGAAGACTATCGATGGTCGTTTTACTCGATAATAAGAAAATATATAAAGATAGCGACTATATGCAATAGGATTTTTCTATGTCTGTTTGATTTTATAATATAGTTTAAAAAGTATGTTTATCATCGTTTTTACCTGTATAATAATGATTTTTGTGAATCGAATCAGTCAACCAAATTACTTCTGGTGTGAAGTTTGGTATAAGTTGGAGGGTTTTATTACGGGGGACAAAAATGTTTGTTGACTATTAAGTACATAAGGGCAGTTAATGTACTAATCCCGGCTGCAACTGACATTAATTTTAAAATGTGTTGATCTATTATTTTAATGATTTTTAAGTTAAATTTGCTTATTGGTTTTCAGGTATAACTTGATTTATTTCAATTTAATGGGCGGGGATTATTATAAATAAGTCTATCTATACTCGGGTGTTTAGAGATAATCATCAATAGCGCGATTCATTTTGGAATTTTTAATATGAAAGTATAATTGTGACGATACATGGATTGACTTATATCATGACAAGAGCACTATCTACAGGTAGATCATAAACTCGCGTTAAAAAAATTAAATCCAATGACTCAAAACGATTTTCCAGACAATGTCATTGTCACAACACGTTCTCCAAATACTCAGCAACATAGTTTTCATTAAATATAAAGGGATGAATCAATAGAGCATGGAAAAAGTAAGGTAATGTCATAAATTAGAAAATGTTGAAGGGGTTGTGGTTACAATAGAATGAACTAATGCGATGGCACAGATTTCTCATTACGAAATCACTGCATATGCAAATCAAGTTTATCATTTTAAATACCAGTTCAGAGCGACTGAGATCACCACTGATTTATGGTTGGATTCGACTTGCCGAGTCTACATCTTTCTATATGGTGTTCCATATACTGTTTCTCCGGCGTCTTGATCGTTTTTCGTTCGATATCGTGTCATTTTAGTATGTTTTCGACTTATGAGTTGGGTTATCCCATTCCTATCTGTACTTTTTCGTTTTCAGAAGCAACATTTTACAAATAATGTATAGACAGAGATCGCTATTATATTGTAGCAATCAAAACAAAAATCAATCGATCAATTACCTAAATGAATACCTTTAACATAACTATAAACTTGCATTTGACCTACCAAATAACCTCGTTTGTTACCTGTTGCTTTGCCGACATTTTTATTTTGGTACGTATAAAAACTAACAAATTTCTATTTTTTTTTATTATCGTTATCGAATTATTAAATATTTACAATCAACTGAAAATGTGTGTTAGTAGTGATAACATATCTCATAAAATCAATGTTAAACCATTGCTCAAATTTAATCTTTGATCACCGATATCCTATTTTTAACTACCTATGATTTTCAGAAAACACACAACGGACATTAACATGAAGTTTTTCATGTGTATTTTATTGTTTTCTGTTGAAATGGTGCGTCGTAAGTACATGACATTATATTTGTGTGTTTTAAAATCATGGAGTAAAATAAATCTACTTGGATTATGAAAAGACTTGCTCGTCAAAAATATTATGTCTAAACTGAAGTTGTATTTTTTTACTTTTTGTTTTACTTGTTTCTAAATGGTTTCCGAACAACAAATATGATGACTGTATATCGCATTGCCAATTTATGAGGTTAGCTAAAACGAAAGAGATTATTCAGCTTTAAGAAATAAGAGGACATTTTTTTTTAATTTATTTTTTTTTTTGCCATGGCGTTGTTAGTTATTTTCGACTCCGGGGAACTTCAAGGGGGGTTAATTTTTTTGTCTGAGTCAGATGTTTTTATATTTAGACTTTCAACCTATCAATCAAATTATTTTGTTCAAAATTAAACTCAATAAGGAACAGGGATAATCTGGATACACATTTTTTTCTTTTTTCCTTTGCTTGAACTGAATAATTTTTGTTTCAACAAATTGGGAATCAAAATATTTTTTAAGAAAAAAACATACCCCCTGTTTGAAGTTAAATAGTCGTTCCTTTATAAGATTAAATGCCCCTATGTTAGTTTTTGCAACTCTTTGATGAAGTAGACTAATGGCCAGAAATATTACATTTCAAAAATCGTATATTGTACATGTTCTTGAATACCATCAAAATTATTCCATCACTGTATCTGTAAATGTTTTGTTAAGGATTTCCTTTACAGACCTTAAGGTAACTTCCGATACTAAGGGAGATAACAAAGTTTTACTGATGTAAGACTGGTTCCCTGTTTTAATGTATGGATATGTCGCCTATATAGAAATGTCACGGAAACAGTTCCGTTGTCGTCTTTTGGTTACGTTGTAAACAACTTCCCTTCAGCTGATCGCACGGAAGAAAGGAATGTTTGTCAAAAGAATGAATTCAGGCGTTCTTTTAAAATGAAGAATATAAATAGCTTCAGCCTGAAAGATCACACAGTCTTAAATGATTCTCAACATATAAGATCATATGTTTTTGTGAGTTGGACGTTGGAGAATCGGTGTCCGATCACAGTCACTGTGACGTTTCGTGTGATGAAACATGGAAAGAAGGTGGACGGCTAGCTGTGATGTCCCCTGCGGATACTGTTGACGAACGGAAATACGAGCTAGGTGGCGGCAGTAGAGCATTTTGTCCATACCTTGTAGTAGTTTCAGTGCATGTAACCTGAATGTAACAGCATAGAAATGAGGAAAAGAAATGGGACTGGTGCATTTGTTGCCAATTCAAAAGCTGCACATAGTAAGAATTAAACATTTTCTGTCTAGATTCTCTATACACATTTAACTAGGTGGAGAAGGTGTATGGTTTCATGTCTTGTATAAATGAACCTACCCCACACCTCTCTTATTCTTTCTTGATTCCCCTATGTTATGATCTGGGTTTATTTGGTTTGAGGGTAAAAAGCATAATTTTAAGGTAAAGTGCTGCCCAAATTTTTGATGAAGTTGGACTTAGTTATTTTTCTGCAATTTTACCCCAGGAAGTTATTTGTCAATTTTGCAATAACAGAAAGACATAACAGCATAAGGTGATATACATTTTGCATTTAAAAAGGGGAGGATTATTTTGTAAATAATTATTTGGTAGCAATTTATGATCATTTATCATAAATGAAATAAGAATTGAAAAAGAAAACAAATACAGTCACAATGATTTAATGTTTTACAAACTTGAAATATTAGTTGTCTTTATCTTAAAATCAGAATTTTCATATTAATCATCTCTTGCATGTGATCATAGACCAAGTGGTCTGACACCTTAGTGATTTAGTCATTTAAAAACACACCTAGAATGATGTGTAGAATCAAGGATAATGTATTAAGACAAAACAGAAAATGAGGGAGGGGCAAGCCACATCCACCCTCACTCCACATTATTAGAAATTTATATGAGTCTGTTATCTATAAGAATAAAGGCAGATATGAATTTACAATCATATTATATAAATATAAATAAAACATTCAATTGTATATATATTCCAAACAAATTATGAACTCAAAATAGTTTATAGTTTAGCTTTATCATGACCAAATTAACCAATGCAGATAATTATAGAGTATAATGAGGACCATAATTATATTCATATTTGTCCTAGCAGTCATAAAAATGAATTAACAGATCTTGGTAATAATTTCAGGTTTAGGGTCAATATTTCAAATTAGTTTTGTGGTAAAGCAATGCTACATATACTTGAAGACTTGCATGTAAAGATCATGACAGAATTTGTTTCAGCAAAAATATTGAATTAGAAATAGTTACATTTGTAAATTAAATGAAATCTACATGCATATTTATGGATAATTTCAAAAAAATTTATGAAACAAATTTGGTTTTGTAAGCCTTTATACATTTTTATTACACATTACATTGTTGATAGCCTGAGTTTCCAGTTAATTTTTAATGTACTATGTTTATAGCTGTAGTATTTGAACACTGCATGTACTTTCATTAATACATTTTGTACTACCTTTTTTTTCATTAGGTTGAAGCCAGTTTTGTTGCAGAATGGCAAATGTGTGGTACTGGTTGGAACTATGAAAGAAATACAGGTAAATTTAAAGAATTTAGGCTTTAACTTTATTAATAGAAAAGATATTCCCAAAAGTCAAGGTCAAAATGGACATTGTAGATTCTCAACAACCTTGTGAACACTTTAGAAGCAACAGTCTTGTATTGTGAGAGGAAGCCATACTTTGCATTGCTCTTGTTATTATAATAAATCAGATTTTTTTTTTCAGTTTGTGAGTTAATTTATACAAAAAAATCTACATTGCTTGTTTATCATTATTTTGTTATTGAATAACTGAACTTGATAACAAGCAATATAAACGTTTCACTCATTATGAAACATATAATTATATAATTTCTCTCTCAATAAGATTTTTATTATATATCTCATCAATTGTAGGTCTTATGGTGGATCATCATCCGTTAATAGCAGGTAATTAGCAGCAGTTTTACAGAAAAATGAAGGATACACATGGCTGCCAATGGTAAATACATGTTAGGATAATGTTACCTTTGAGAAAAAACTCGAGTCTTCATTTTAGAGACTTATTTATCTTATAAGGGTGTTCAGCTGGCATAAACATTTGTTTCCGGACAATATATTTAGTAGTTTCTAGTTTGCGTCAACTAAGTTGAAACGTCCAAGTTCATATCTCAGCAACTATCAGTGGTAAGATCATGCAAACTTATACACAAATGCCTCTCAGTTAGTAACTCAGCTTTCAGGCTAAAGAAGGTCACTGTGATCCACATTTTATGCTTTTGATTTGTACTTTATTAAAATATTAAGTATATTATCAAGACTGCTACGGGTTCCTATGTGCTACAATGAAGCGAACTATGTAATGTTACCTATGTTTATCACACACTAGCTCACATGCTGTATATGTATACCCAAAAGAACAGTTCAACTGTATTGATTTAAGACAAGTGGTCAAGGTCACAGCTATTAAATATATACAATTAAATATACCGCTTTACATGCAGAACCAAATACAATGAAAGTCCCAACTATGTATTGGCTTCCGAAGCTACACAAAACACCTTACAAATATAGATTCATTTCGTCTTCAAGCCATTGTTCCACTACTAAATTGTCTATTCTTCTTACCAGTACACTTGGGACAATCAAAAACCTGATAATAAATTATTCAAATAGGGCCTTCGAAAATAGTGGAATTAATTGCTTTTGGAGTGTCAAGAACTCGTTGGAAGTACTTGATAAATTACATGCATATATTGGTGATTTTGAATCTGTTCAAAGTTTTGATTTTTCTACCCTATATACCACATTGCCTTACATTCTCATTAAGAATAAATTCACACACCTAATTAAATGGGCATTTAAAAAGTCAGAATGTGAATATATATGTTCAAACTCTTTTAGGTCATTTTTTAGTAGCAATAAACAAAAAAACTATGTCAATTGGACATGTTTTGATACTATATATGCCCTTGAATTTTTACTAGATAACATTTTTGTTCGCTTTGGAGATTCCGTATATCGTCAGGTTATCGGAATTCCAATGGGAACTAACTGTGCACCACTTATTGCGGACCTTTTTTTGTATAGCTATGAGTTACAATTTATGACAAAAATCAGCAAAGACCCATCGAAACAACATCTGATACACAAATTTAATAATACTTTTAGATATTTGGATGATATTTTGGTTCTCAATAATGACGACTTCAGTATGTATACTAAAGAAATTTATCCTGTTGAACGTACTTTAAATAAAGCTTATACTAACAATGACCACTGCCCTTTCCTCGATCTTGATATCTATATCATTAACGGAAAGCTTAATACTAAAATATATGATAAAAGAGATGATTTTTCATTTCCTATCGTTAATTATCCATTTTTATATGGTGACGTTCCCTTGTCACCATCTTACGGTGTTTATATATCTCAACTTGTACGATTCGCTCGTGTATGTAACAATGTTTTAGATTTTAACGAGAGAAATTTATGTATTACTGAAAAATTATTACACCAGAGTTTTCGATATCACAAACTAGTCAAAACATTTACTAAATTTTATTATCGGTATAAGGACATCATTCGTAAATATAGCTCAACATGCAGACTTCTTATACGTTCAGGTATTTCACATCCAATTTTTTATGGAAATATTCTTTATAAAGCACAAAAATGGCAGTATTCACCTCTGAAGCTAACAAAACCTTTAAATAGACTTATTAAGAAGGGATATAGTTACGATACTGTTTTCAGTTCATTAAAGATTGCATATTTTGGCGTTAATATTGATTCACTTATAGGGTCTTTGCATCGGCACTAAACACATTTATTTAAAAACCATTTGTTGGCATGACACGGGTTATGTTCTTCTCATATATGTTATGATGGTATGATACTAAACCCCTAACGGGAAGGATTGTGCCTGATATTCATATGATGAAGACATAATCTTTCAATCAGTTTAATTGAAGTCTGGAGCTGGCATGTCAGTTAACTGCTAGTAGTCTGTTGTTATTTATGTATTATTGTCATTTTGTTTATTTTCTTTGGTTACATCTTCTGACATCAGACTCGGACTTCTTTTGAACTGAATTTTAATGTGCGTATTGTTATGCGTTTACTTTTCTACATTGGCTAGAGGTATAGGGGGAGGGTTGAGATCTCATAAACATGTTTAACCCCGCCGCATTTTTGCGCCTGTCCCAAGTCAGGAGCCTCTAGCCTTTGTTAGTCTTGTATTATTTTCAATTTTAGTTTCTTGTGTACAATTTGGAGTTTAGTATGGCGTTCATTATCACTGAACTAGTATATATATTTGTTTAGGGGCCAGCTGAAGGACGCCTCCGGGTGCGGGAATTTCTCGCTGCATTGAAGACCTGTTGGTGACCTTCTGCTGTTGTCTGTTCTATGGTCGGGTTGTTGTCTCTTTGACACATTCCCCATTTCCATTCTCAATTTTATTTGAATTTGCATTTGTATTGGAGACTATAATGCTCCCTATATTGGCACTTATATTTCATTCTAAATTTCCATTGCACATAATAAAAAAAAAACACTAAAAAGGATGAACATCATCTGCAGAAGCAATATAAAATTTTATACCCATCAGTTGACCTAATTAATTTATTGCAATCACTTCAAAAACATGGCCATATGTAACAGAAGGTTAAACGTTTGATGCATATGATGCAGAGTGCTTTGTTAGTCAGTTGTATAATCTTTTAAATTGTTGTTTTAATGCATGATTGGATTAATTTTGCACTATAATATATTACAACATTTCATAACAATTAAATAAATTAAACTTTCAGATAAATGCAGAATCAGAACGTTGCCCAGGCCACTTTACTCTGAAAGTTGGGAAAAAATGTGAACAAGAAATTGAAGAGGCAAAGAGATAAACCAGAAATTACAGAATTTAAAAAGAGAATAATTGATAATAAAAATAATAGATGTGACATTTCACAAATGAAGCGAGCAAAACTGATATTTTCTTTTCGTCATGCCACTTATATGATATATCTGAATGACAGAGAAGTTGAAACCTGTACTATTCAACATGGAAGGATTGACGATTCTGACAGGAACAAAGTGAACTCTAAATATGCTTAGTATAATGGCTATCAATCAGTATTTGACTGAATCAAAGGAGTAAACTATACAAAATATAAGAGTCTATATTGTTGCTTAATTATTGAGGTATTGAAAATAAAGAAAGTCGAAAGACTGTTGATAAATTTATAACTTCATCGTTTTTGGTTAAGTTTCAATGACAACTAAAAATATGTAATGTGTATGTTTCATCAAACTTGAATCATAAATTGAGTACAGGGTGAAAAAGTCTTGAAATTTTCTAGTCCATTTAATACTTGAAAGACTGGTAACATGATGAATAGATAATTGAAAAAAAAAATATGGTGATTTTTTTGCTAACTGCTGAGTAATTTATTTTGCTCATTTTAGACCATAGTAGTGCTTACAAAAGCTGCATTATCTTGAAAATCATTTAAATTTCATAGAAGCCATGTGTTGTGGCTGTGAAATCATGGTATGGAATCTTATTTTGTCGGTTAGTATTAACTCTTGCATGTCAGAACAAAGAAAAAACTTGGATTTTCCTATTTCTTGCCAGGTTGCCATGGTAACCGTTGTTCATAGAAACAAAAAAATGGCTTTCATTTGATTCTCATGTGAAACTTTATTGATATGTGTAGGTTTAACAAAAGATATTGAAACATGTGCCACACTTTGTTCACACAAATTTTGAAAGAATACAAAGAATTGCTGGTGATTACTCTGTCGGCATGGGTAACAAAAATGTTTTTAGATGAAAAATAGTCTGGTTACCTATATTTTCTCTTTTTATTTTTTCAAAGCTCATTGTTTGAACAATGTTATGTCAAATTTAAAAAAGTAAAATATAATTTTTTTTCAAATTTTTTGTTTTTCATTTGCGCCAGTGTTGACGAAATTGGGGCGGGATTTTATAAATATCTATAAAACTGCTATTATTTGTGTTTTATTCACATTTTCAACATTATTTCTGTAATAAATAAAGAACAAACCTTTCAAAATACTTTCAAAGGCTTGAAAAAAATCCAGAATATTTTCTTCAGGTATGTATTTATTCATACATGTGATGTGCCAACTTTGGTGGCCGTTACCATGGAAACGAGTCTGGTGACATGATATTTTTAACTCAAATTTTTATAGAGGCCATTGCATAGTATATGTATGCAAATTTTAAGAAAAATTCATTGGTGAAAAAAAAATGATATATCTGTAGGGATCCACCTTAAATAATAAGAAAAATAACAATTGCACGCTCTTTATAAAGATCATCTACTGTTTACATCACAAACACTAAAGGGGCATTTACAGTGTTCAAGGTGGACATGATATACACATAGTGTCGTTGTATATACTATCAAACACATAATGTTCGTTCCTTTTCAAGATTGATAAAATATTGCAATCATTATTTTCAACTCAATCGATACGTTTACCACAGTTCCAACTTTTTTGTAAACACTGTGCCTTTCCATCTTGATCTAATGTTTATGTTATAATCACACATTTATCATCTTATTTTGATATTTGTTTAGATTATTGTATTGATAATATGAATTTGTTTACATACATATGTGTCTGCCTATCAGCCTGTGTATACTTTTGTAACTTATTTTTGAACTGAACAAAATACATTTATGTACTAAGAAGACTGCTCTTGTATCCTTATCTCAGTGCTTATATACTTTGTATTTATTCATTCTGTGTTCATGATGAACTCGTAAATACTATCTTTTACACTAATCGTTCAAAACATCTTTGTTTCGTACTATTTGAATTATCTTTTTTGATTAACATGTTCTGATGCAGGAACATTGACGTTATAAATGTACTATTGAACAATACTAAACTATAAGTCGTCTGTATGACCAGAGAAGAAACTTCAAACACAAACCCAAAACAATATTTGTTCTGGTTTAGATATTTAGTACGTCAGTTTCATTTGGATAACTATAACCAAAATATAATCCACTGTCAAACTCACAAGTTCTGGAAGGGTACATTCGTTATGATATTTTCTTATTTTGTAGTAAATGGAAAGTATGTAAAGATACAGTTGACAAAAACAATTATTTATCATCAAGATTCTCTCATGATCCAGTGTTTACCAAATGAAATAACGAATGAGGAGGTCATATACAGTTATCTGTTGAGTAAACAAGTAGGAGATGTGATCTCTGACATATTGCAAATATCAGCTGACAGGTCAAATCCTCCTACATTCCAAAAGGTACTTACAGTTTTATTATTTGATAATCTTAAACGTGGTATTTTTTTTTCTTTACAAGTAAATACATATCTAGTCATGAAGTTTGTGTGTATGCACGGAAATTGTTTTTTTTTTCAGCCAAATCTAGGTCCGAGAACACAATTATTTCGTAGTGCATTTCTTTTAGACAATAAATGAAAATAAAAAAAGCCCTACTCTGTTTCTAAATAATATTTTTACAGTGTGTTGTACTATTTTTGGGACAAATCATAACAAAATTATAGAAAACCTCATCAGCTTTATCTCAAAATTTGGACATTTCATGGTAAGGGGGTCTTGAAATCTTTTGACAGCTTCCGAAATGCTATTTGTTTAACCTTTTTCAGCTGGACCAAATCACTACTTACTTCATGACCCAAATTTTTTACAGTGTAATTTCATACCACTACTTGCTTCATGACCCAAATTTTTTACAGTGTAATTTCATACCACTACTTGCTAGTTGAGGCATGAAACATGAAGAAAAAAAATTTAGAAGGGGTATTAAAAAATTGGCAATTAACACACTGTCCGCACTAGGGACTATATTCTTGGACAACGAAAAGCAAAGGACGATAACTGTGTTCCCGGACCATAGAAGTGTTTTATAATAAATGCATGACTTCATCAATTAATTGGGCTTCGGTGGTCGAGTGGTCTAAGTAGTTACTACTGTAATCACTAGCCAGTCAACACTGAGGTTGTGAGTTCGAACCCCGGTCGTGCGGATGCACTCGACTCAAATCTTAATTGACTAGGATTGTCAGTTTTCCTATCAAAGGTCGGTGGTTTTCTCCAGGCACTCCGGCTTCCTCCATCAATAAAAACTGGCCACCACGAAATAGCCAAAAAGCGGTGCTAAAAAGTGGCGTTTAAACACAAAAAACCAAATCAATTCAAATCATCAATTAATGAAATGCATTAAAATGAAGTCATGCATTTATTATAATTTCAATGAAATGATTTTTTGAGCATTGAGCACTTTACAATATTCAAAGATTGTAAGAGAATAACTCTCCCTTTCTGCATGGTAAAAACTTGCATCGTTTGAACTATAAAAAGAAGAAATCTTATACATACTTAGATGACAAGATATATTTTTCAAGGGTAATTGTGATTGAATCAAGTAAGACCTACAACAATGCGCATTGAAGTGTTATGTCCAATAATGATCGTTCATAATGAAAACAACCTCTCTTATCATTTTACTACTTCGAAAAAACAACTATAGCGGTTTAATGTTATGTACAAATCACAGACTCCCAATAGTGTGTGTATCAACGATAAACACTCGGCTCGGGACATTTTTGTAAAAAAAAACTATAAAAACACTTCTATGATTTAAAAAAATAATTAACCGCTCGACTTCGTCCGTGATATCATCATTCCGTCCATCTGTCCCACTTGTACACGGACATTTTTTTTTTAATTTTCTTGGCTTAAAAGGTAGCAGCGATATATTCTTACATGTATTATTTTAAGGTTACTTGGTACGAATCTAGTCTACAAGGCCGGGGCAACACGACGGGTACACAACTTGTGCCATCAGTTAACTCAACATTAATCTTAACAGTGAAAGCAACAGAGGTTTCATGTAAAGACAGTGCCAAATTTATATGTAAAGTTGTAATTTCTGGTGGACGAACTGATCACGATTCTGCTCAACTGAATGTTGTAGGCAAGTCGTTATTATAAAACTTTATACTTAGAAAAAAATATTGATGCATATTTTTATGTAATTCCGAATTATTATTATTACCGGGTTTGTACTACCATGAAAAACTCGACGGGTAAAGTAGGATCTGCTAACCCTTCCGGAGCACCTGAGATAACCCCCAGTTTTTTGATGGAGTTCGTGTCGCTCAGTGTTTAGTCTATTTTGAGTTTTTGTACTTTTGTGTGTCTATTGTTTTTTTCTTTATAAGCCATGGCGTTGTCAGCTTATTTTCGACTTATGAATTTTAATGTCCCTCTTAACCCCCTAGGGTCTTCCTCCGACCGGCAATAAAACCCTTGCTAAAGTGGGGCGTACGTTTGGCTGTGCGGGATGTACAAATTTGGAGCCACGTCCGGTCAGAATGGGGACGTTAAATCCGATGCCTCGTGTAAAAAGAGTGCCACGCTCTTTGCACGTTAAGAACCCTTGCAACAACTCTTTGAGGGGTCCGTAGGTGACCTGTTACAAGGCTAAATTTCTGTCCCTATCCAATATACCCTCATATCCCGTGGCAGTTAATTTCTCTGACCTTAATCCCGGACGCCCCTCTTACAGAACCTACCTATTGTATTTATTGTTAATTTGTTCTCGTCCTAAATATGCATGAAATATTTGCGTCTGGACGTAAAGCAAACAAAAATCAATCAATCAATGAATGTCCCTCTGGTATATTTCATGAGCTCATAATCATATTTTAAATCAATATAAGAACTGGTAATTTCCTACACAGGAAGATATTTCAACACGATACTAATTAATTGATAAAGGAAGGTTAGTACAATTTCACGAAACTTTTTTTACCAAACAAGCTAGATAATACATATCGATATTTAAGAATGTTCAAAAATACTTGTTTATTTCATGATTGAAAATGATCTATTATAATTTAGTCTAGATGTAATGATATATAATATTGATTACAAGAGAGTAACCCTGGATGTCTGGTAATAAAAACATAAAGGGACTCGAATGCTACACTAATGAATAAGATTGTTTATAGCGTGAAATTACCGTAGCCGTATTTGGCACAACTTTTTGGAATTTTGGGTCCTCAATGCTCTCCAACTTTGTACTTGTTTGGCTTGATAACTTTTTTTCATCTGAGCGTCACTGATGAGTCTTATGTAGACGAAACGCCTGGCGTATTAAATTATAATCCTGGTACCTTTGATTACTAATTATAGTTAAATAAAAAAGGAAGCATATTTTAACCCAAGCCAGTATTATATAAATAATAAGATGTGGTATGAGTGCCAATGAGACAACTCTCCATTCAAGTAAAAATGTATAAAAGTTAACAATTATAGGTCGATGTACGACCTTCAACACTGAACAGCAAACTATAATGGACCCCATAATGACTAGTTTAAAACAATTCAAACAGGAAATTCAAAGTTCTGATATAAGTAAAAAGGAGAAACGAGCAGCAGGTATAAACGTTAAAACACTGTTTGAAATAAAGTCATATATTGCTTTTTGTTTTATTTTTCTTAAATACGTTAAGCGATGCAAATTTTCTTAAACATTTCATTTTTGTATCAAATGCCCTAAAATAAAATGAACTAAATAACATTTTTAGTATAGAGGGAATATTTAAGGTTTTCAGAAAGTGTGGTTGCTCTAAAATCCATATTTCAACAGTATTTGAACTTTTTTGGATTTCAACCAGTAGTCATTGAAATATTCCTTATTTTTTTTTTGCATTATAAACAATCATTTCATTGTTTTCTCAATGGATTGTATTGAAGAGGACACTTATTATCAATTTTTTTCTAATCCATATTTTCTGAAACATTTTAAAATGATTTAACAATCAAAACTTTTTCTATAAATTGTTAGCAAATTGTAAGCAAAGGAATACACAATTTAATTTTCATTTCAGTCTCTCCATTCAAAATTAGTTTGGAGGACGTAACAGTTCAACGTAAGTCTATATACTACCACGGCGATACTGTTGAATTAGCTTGTCATGCAACATTTACAGCACCAGCGTGTCTTCGATGGTGTATAAAGAAGCAAACTGATGAGGACTTTTCTGAATATGTGAATTATATCAACACGACTGGCATGTCGTACGACGGTTGCCAATACTATAGAGAATCTACATTGGAATATAATGTGACTAAGGAAGACACTAAAACAATAATTGCATGTGATTTAGCAACTACACCTCGCTGTAGTATTTCGAATCAAAAAGAAAGCTCAATTATCATTGGGAATGGTGAGTATGATTCAAATAAAATCATTACAAACATGTGCTTTTTATATTGACATTTCATTCAATTCTTTTTAATTTGACATTTCATTCATATGGTTTAAAATTAAATTGAGACATGTTTCATTTGTTTTTAAATTTACTATTCTTTTATATGTTTTGGTATTGACATTTTATCCGAATATTTTTAAATTGACATTTTATTCATATGTTTTAGACTTGACATTTCTCTCATTTGTTTTTCTTTTTTATTTTATTGGTGCAACTATAGCAACAAAATATATACCGTTGAGAAACGAGCATTAACGATTCGAAATTCATTTTTTTCCATATACATTGTACTTACTTTTATGAAAATGCAGGAAAGTAGAACGATACCAGATGGATATTCAAAGTCATCAGTTTAAAAAAAATGGCAATGTCATGCAAAATTACAAACAAAAAATGAGAAACACAAACACACCACACTAACAGTTCAATACATACCCTTACGATACGAAAGGTTTGATGCACATTCGGATAAGCCTTCTGAGTGAGAGTATATTCACAACCATTAAACATAATTTTGTGAAAGATCACTTTCGATAATGTACTAAAATTGTAAAAAAAAATTCTTTTAAAAGATCGGTTTCCAAGTTCCAAATATATGCACTTTGAAACTAATAGTTGGTCGTTTGATTTCAGAAATTGTAGACTTGGTAGATATACAAGTTCCTCAACATTTTTTGTATAAAAAGCAAAGTTTATCTATATCTTGCATATCAAAGCCACTTCTAATGAGAGATATAATATCAAGCGTGTCATTGTATAAGGTGACCGGTAAAAGTTTGAATTTGTTACTAGAGGCTAGATATGATAATGTTTTACAAAAATCAATAACCAAGTGGTATGACCCGGATCTTCGATATAGGGCTACTCTAGTGACATCTACTATTAAGCCAAAGACAAATGCCACACTTGAGATAGAGATTCCGTCTAATAATGTTAAATGCTGGGATGCTTCAACGTATCTTTGTGAACTACTTCTTTTTGGAAACAAATTTAGTGTTAGTCAACGTACACTGAGTATAATGTGTAAGTTTTGACTTAGCCTTATTCATTCATGGGAAAATATTTAAATTATAAATTTAGAATAATTATAACAGAACACTCTAGTTTATACACATATTAGTAATGTGGCAATGCAAACGATTTTACATATTTCACATGTTTCATCAAAATATGAAAACAATATCAAATACGGCGGATTAATTGCACAAGTGTGGTTTTAAACGCTGTACAAGTGTGGTTTTAAACTCTGTACAAGTGTGGTTTTAAACGCTGTGCAAGTGTGGTTTTAGACGCAACTCAGTTTTATCTATAACGTGAAATTTATAAACGCCGGGATCAAGAATAAAATTTATTGCATGAAATGTTCTGTATGGATTTATTCAAAAGTCAACAAAATCTAACAATGATTGGATAACTTCTACTGTCATAATTATTGATATTATAGAACGAAAACTAGCATTTCTACTGAAATGACATGAGTTTGTGGTGTTTGAATTACGTCACCATTCGTATACAACATCTCATGACAACACACAATTTACGAAATTCATTATTAGTTTGAGCAATTAATGGCTTGGTGTAAACATGTAACGTAAATAACAGGAACAGTTTTTAAATAGAATTGTAAACTCATTATCTAAAACTTATTTGAGACAAAAATGTTTTCAGTATTGAAGCTGTTTAATATGTGTTCATGATTTTAACATAATAACATGTTGGTTTTTGTTCATGGAAATGAAAGTATAACAAATTCGGCTTTGTATTTTGCAGACTACACAATTTTATCTTGAAGGTTATTCTATAGTCTACTCATCGTTTCAGCAAGTGCACAGTATATAGAAACAAAAATAAGTACACCAATTGCGCTCACCAAGGATGATATTAAGATAGACTGTTTGACCTGGAACTTTGAAACAAATGACACTATTGCAGAAATAGTACTGTCGAAATTAGGAATCAATGGCTTATCAAGGATTTTTGCGGCACAACTTAGTTTTTCAGAAGGCACGAAACTAAAGTGGTATGACATGAATTACAAATCCCGAGCAGTGATTATATCAGCAAGTGTTTATCCAGCTTCGACCTCAAATATTAGTCTACAAATCCCGAAACATAATGTTAGATGTTCCGATGCAGGATCTTATGTATGCGAAGTAATTTCTATGAGCGATAAAAACGGGAAAAGTACATTAAGTCTTAATATAACAGGTAATGAGATGTTTCTAATGCAATACCAATACTTTAAAGTGAAAATAGATATCCCGTCGATAACCAATCATAAATTTGCTGATCATAGTAAAATAATAAAGTATTATGAGTATCTAAATCATAGCACTGGAATGTGAGAATAAATCATTGTTCCTTTTTCATTTGGAGATAGTGGTATGTTAGAAATTATGTTTTTTAGTTCTTATAATAATAATTGCCAAGTTTGTATACTTTAAACACATTTTAAAATATATGTTTACTTTTAATCAGATAATTTCGTATATTAATTTTTTGGCTTGGAAATTTGATTTTTATTCTCCAAGTTCGTATTTCAATAGGCCTTCAAACTGTTTCGTTTCGAGCTTTAGTATAATGTAGACAATACGGGTATCAATGGCGTACAATATTATAAAACTGGTACCTATGATGAGTTGTTTTATCCAAATGTATTTTTTACTTAAAGTAGTCGATTCTGGACAGTGTTGTCGCAGTGAAAAGTGCCTACAAAAGTTCAGAAATGTGACAATCATGTTATACTTGTTAATTTTTAAAGTGGTTGACTATGATATTGATATTACCTTAGATTTCCTTCACATGCTGACCGTTCACAAGGCTTGTGATGTTATCCTTTGTCGCACTAATACACTACAGCGTTTTAAAACCCAATTATGAATAGAAAAAATGATAATTTTGACATGCATAAACGATATATATATCTCTAGATCATGTTGTATTTTAGAGCAACTAATATATACCGGTGTTTTAATATTATTCCTAAAATATGGACACAAAATTCCAAACTGTAAAACTAACTGTTGTAGGCAGACTGTCAATGATATAAGTCAACGTGTCTGATATCTACATAACTGTACTGAAACTTAAGCTTCGACTTGATCAAGATAAACGGAACGTAGATGCGATCCAAAAATATCTTATATCGACTTAAATATAGATATTGCCAAATGATCGACGGGAATATCTACGACAAAATAAACAAGTTCATCATTAATACATATTGTTTAAAGCTCGTTCTATCGAAAGAAAAGTTACAGCTTCTAAATTGAAAAAGAAATACTTCATTGTTGTATACTTCCAGTTCTTAGTACTGAAAACTTCACTGTTGATGAAATTACTAGAACATCATCAAGTAACACTTACACCATAGGGAAAACTATCGTATTAAAATGTGGTGGTAAAGTTGGTAATCCTCCTGGTGTACCGATATGGTGTAGGAAGACGTTGTATGACATAAACTACATGGAATATAGTGGCAATGATAGTTTACTGGTATCAGTAACTGATCCTAAGCCTTTTGAATGTCAGTTTGAAAGATTTTCAGTATTACAGTATAATGTGTCGGTTAATGACACAAATACAAAAATAGGTTGTGTACTGTCAAGCGAGGGCTGTGACACATTGAAACCAGCAACAACGTTTGTCATAAAAGGTTCAAGTGAGTCCAAGTTTTCATTAGTAGTACTTATAATATGTTATGTTTAAAAAAATGAGATTAAGAATTAATGCTTATAGGAGAACTATCAATTAGAACCAAAGAACAGGTTACCATACAACCTGCAACAAAAGACAGAATTCTTTATCGTAAAAAAAGCTATACAAATATTCAGAATAATAAACGGTGAAAGCAATCAAAAGAGAAAAATATTACAAAAAACAAAAAACAATAATACTAGACAGATTACGACAATCACCTTTTTACCGGCTCGAGGTGTTGCATTGACACATAACGAATGTTTATATATCTGTCTGATAAAAAGTCACTCTTAATATCATGTCAAATTTTGTAAGAGCAGTTTGAAGGATAATTGAATTTTTTGTATTAAAACAAAAGTATACTAGTGATATACATGACTTTTTAAAGACAAATATTTAATTAATTTCGCATTTGTTTACTAATTCATGTCATGTCAAACTTTATCAAAATCGTTTGTATGTGTTTTCCGTCAATATTGAATTTTTAAGTAACCTTGTTTTTGATGATTTGTTTGCATAACTAGTTATATAGTTGTTAAACAAGACATGTGTTTTTCTTGGGCAAATGTTCGCATTACACAAAATTAAGATTTTCCACAAGAAACAAATGATCAAATAAACGAACAAAAAGCATTCTCCAAAATAGAACGTTCAAGACCTTATTTATTCAGTGCAAGAAATCCTACTGAAAAAACTTAACAATAATACAATGATTATAATTTTTATATCCAGTTCGTGCGTGTTATTTAACAATTCTAATCACTGGCAATCGAAAAATCAGGCAGAAAGCCAAACTCATTACCCTTGGAAGAACATAGAACACATTGTATATATTTAACTGTATAGAACTGATGTGTGATTCGAATGTGCACCTTTTTAACATCTAGTTTTTAAATGAGGTCACGGCGTATTGGTCACTGAACTTTATGCGAAAACAACTGGCGGTCAAATTACAATAATTGGTTGATTTCATTTTAGGATGTCCATTTGACTTGTTGGCTGTTCATTCAAAACTTAACTAAATTGGGGTTTTAGCGAATATTGAATTTATTTGCCTTCTGAGAATAAATAAAACATTTGAAAAGTGTCTATGTCATATCACCATATTTAGTTCTTTTTCGTATTTTATCTTCAGATCCAGAAATTGACAAGCCAACAGGTAAAATCTTTTTAATGTCTGAATTGTTATGTGGGTCTAAATATTTTTCCGTATACTAACCAACCTTTAAAAAAAACGATCAAAAGGCGAAAACCAAAAGGAACACAGGAGCATATACATAATATCAATCGGGGAAAACACCCATCTTTGCAATTCTGGAGTTATATTTCAACAAAATTAGAGACAAAAATTAAACTAAATGGTATCGCTTCAAAGAATCTAAAAAGTTGGTTACCATTATCGTATTGTATAATTAACAATTGACTTCTATGAAAAGCATGCTATTGTCCTTTTAAATGATTGGAAGAGTCTTACAAGTGTATTATGCGGGACTCATTCCCTCCTAATTGGTTTTAAACGTGATACTTAATATACAATATAAATATGATAAAAACACTTAGATTGTAGCTTGGTGGTCATTTCATATTCAAAAGATGTATTTTTAACGCAATTGATTGAACACATTTAAAAGAGGATTTAATCATATCGTAAGGAAGAAAACATGATAAATTTATGATAAACAATAAAATGTAAAACATAAAACACCTGGAATATGATAAACACAATTTTTAATAATTTAATCTTGTACAGGTACAAACGGATGGAAAACTAGTACAAATGTCCTTGCAGTTATTTTGGCAATTGCTGCGTTTATACTCACCATTTTCGGTTTTTGGTATGTAGTAAGTTAAAAAGTAAAATAACAAAAATACTGAACTCCGAGGAAAATTCAAAAAGGAAACTTCCTAATCAAATGAGAAAAACAAAAGCTCTAACACATCAAACGAATGGACAACAACTGTCATATTCCTGACTTGGTACAGGCATTTTCTTATGTAGAAAATGGTGAATTTAAACCTGGTTTACAAGTGAGAGGTTTAGCGCTATAAAACCAGGTTCAATCCACCATTTTCTACATTTGAAAATGCCTGTACCAAGTCAGGAATATGACAGTTGTTGTCCATTCGTTTGATGTGTTTTATCATTTGATTTTGCCATTTGATTAGGGACTTTCCGTTTTGAATTTTCCTCGGAGTTCAGTATTTTTGTGATTTAACTTTTTTTATAGCTAGCTAAACTTCTCACTTGTATGACAGTCGCATAAAATTCCATTTTATTGACAAAGATGTGTGAACAAAACAAACAGACACAATAGGTATAAATGTCCAAAATAGGGGCACACAAGTCAACATTGTGCAATTATCATAATCACTATATGCATGATATAAACAATTTACCATGGCACAATAACACAATGACGGGATTTATAAGTACCGAGCCACGTCATATGTAACAAAGAAACACAAAAAGACATATAGACAAAGCATTTTAGCAAAAATGAAGACAAGAATATACCAATTTTCATAGAACAATATCACAATGACGGGATGTATAAGTACAGTCCCACGCTAAAAGCTAAAACACATCGAACAAATTGATAAAAACTGTCATATTCCTAACTTATTACCGCCATGATATTATGTAGAAAATGGAGGATAAAACCCAGTTTTATAGAGCTAGATAAACCCCTCACTTGTATGAAACATTCTAAATAGTTAATGATTAAACTTATAAAAAATTTCGGTAAGGATAATATCATGTTTCATTTTTTCTTCCTAATTTCTGTAATTTCAATGTGGATATCAATTCAAACATGATATATAACATCCAAACTTATTCATTTTCAAAAAGAAAATCATTCCATCAAACAACGATTTTGTAGTCTGCTCGACATCTTAATTGTGCTTAAAATCATACTTATCACTATGAAACTGTTAGGTCTGTTTGGTTTTTTTTTTTTAATTCTTTTTGTTTTCGCTTTCGACAATATATGCAACAAAATATGCAAATTAAAACACATTCCAATTAAAAAGAAAAGAGTTTGAAAATAAACTCATCATAGATACCAGGATTAAATTTTGTATTTACGCCAGACGCGCATTTCGTCTACCAAAGACTCATCAATGACGCTCGAATCCAAAAAAGTTAAAAATGCCAAATAAAGTACGAAGTTGAAGAGCATTGAGTACCAAAATGTTGAGAAAAATCGCTATGGACTCATACGTTATAAACATTTGTTCGTCAAAAGAATCAGCACGGCGTATAAAAAACTAAATGAAGACGAAAAACTTTATACATGTAATTTAATATAGCATCCTGGAAAATACAAACCTAATTCATGGTAGCATGGAACTAAAACATTAAATCAAATTAATTTCCATTATATTTTACATGTTTCGAGGTCGTTAATAAATTTCCATACTTGTTGCATTGTTGTTTGTGCTCGATATTTTTTACAGTAATATTAATGTTATGATGTATTTATTTGAGATAAACTATCTTGTGTGGGCTACATCATCTTCTCCGTTTCGGACAATTTTTTTATTGAAAGTTAATTAAGTTTTAATTTAATCCAATCACATATTGCCTTTTTTACCGTAATTTGCGGCAACGTTAACGTACATGTGTCTAGATATCTCCCATGGTTGTGTGCATTTTCAAATTGTTTCTATACAGTGACTGGGAATATAACTATGGTCACTTGGTCTTCTTCCGACTGGTAGTAAAACGCTAGCCAAAGTGGGGTGTCCGTTTGGCTGTGCGGGATGTATCAAGTTTAGTCAAAATAGTCAACCAGCATATTCAGAAATTGATGATATTGTTACAATGTTTTGTTTCCCTTTGGTTTATTTCATGAGCATGTACGCATATTGATAAGTGTTTGTGTGGAAACGACTTCAAAAAAAGTTGTACAAAATATTAGGTGTTTAGCCATTGTAGTTGATTCTAGTTTGTCCCAATTCAGTTATGATACAGTCTTTCTTAAAAGGATTTCAGTACTTTAAAATTGAACGAAGTAAGGTCAGAATATGTTTGAACTTGTAGTTTGTTGTCTGCAGACACCCATTCGTGAATTTTTTTTCCGGTGCTAAAATACAATGTTTGTGTATAACACAAATTATGAAAAATCTTTCTACAAATTATACTTCTATTTCTTTCTTGTATTTACATTGTTATTGTCTTTTTTTTCAGGAAAAGGCGTCAGATGAAAAAGAAAGGGTCAGATCTTTAAAGACCTTTAACATGTCTAAGCACACCTCATTACTGTGAAACTATACTTTTCTGTTAAAATAAATGTATATAGAACGCAATTGTTAACATAAATATGAACCTAAATTCTGCTCTGTATGATCCCTTTGAAAATAGAACTTGTACGTAACGCAAGATGAGTTATGATGGTTATCGTTAAGCTTCTACTTCAAAACAAACTCAGATAATATCCAGTTACTATTTTATATACTCTAAAAGGGACGTTGCAACAGTAATGAAAATCAGTCATTGCTGATGTCACAATAAATAATAAAGCTTCTAATGCTTAGTTACTTAGAGTATCATCTTATAACAATCATAATAAGGTGCATATAGAAGGAACACATAAGACAAAATAAAAAAAACCCGCTGCAACACATTCATTCACTTCCACAATTTTCTAGCTAAGGAAAAGTCAGTACCAAGTCAGGGTTATGACAGTTTTTCCATTCGTTTGATGTGTTTGAGCTTTTGATTTTGACTTTTGATAAAGGACTTTCCTTGAATTTTCCTTTGGATCAGTATTTTTGTTATTTTACTTTTCATTGTTATAAGACCAACGGCGTTTTTGACAGGATCAAAATGATATACAGACCGACATTCTTCAAGGAGTCTAAAATCCAAAGATGCTTCACATGTATCTATGTATAGATTAGAAGATCGGAGACCACGAAACACCACTTTGCAACGTGTTGGCTGCCTCCCTACACTAGTAAATGCATCTTAATCTTGACCGAAAATTAAATTATTCATTCATGTTCAATCTTGTAGTCAATTTTCAGGCTTAACGGTTGTTGTTAATTCCGTACTTTTAAATCACTTCAGTTTTGCTAAGTAGCTTTTCGGACAATTCAGTATGATTTTGATTGTACAGGAAATGTCAACTTTAGAACAGTCTGAACATATTTTTATTGAGTGTTTACGCAGTATACTACCGAAAAAAAAACAGTGAAAACTTTTTCGTTCCGTTTACCTGTACCTAAAATGGATATAATATTTTTCGTATAATGATGGTTATCGTCTGCCTTCCTGTTCCAGTATTTTTTTTATAAAATTGGAGTAAGTTTTGATAAAACTGAATCGATCGTTTTTTCGTTGCCTCCGAATTAAATATGACCCTGACAACAAATATTTCAAGACAAAATAGAATGATTGAACAAGTTATATAATATTTATTTATGTTTTGGTGGAATAAGAACCAACTAGGTTCAGGCTGTGGAACGCGGGTAACAAATACTTGGCCAGAACAAAAATTGTAAACACTAAATGTCCTTGGTACTCATTGTCAAACCTCATGCATGCTCAAGATGAAGCTCTTGTAAATGCAACCAAGACCTTTATTGAGGATCATTTGAAATTGCAATGTATTTATTTTGTTTCTACTCCATGGGTATTTCTGCGCAACCATCAACAATTGATTTAAAGTCCTTTGATGAGATTTCATTATTACAACGGCTTCAAAACTACAACCATGAAAATGGGCCGTTGAACAATAATTTTCGTGATCATAATGATCTCCATGGAAATAAAAGAAAATTACATTCTATAAATGCCGGTTGTCCAAATCGTTTTTCTAGATTTATCTTGATGAAGAACGCTTAAACCTTAACATTATAAATCTGGGAATTATTAATTCATTCATACATTTGTAGCAAATGACAAAAGACACATACACAAAATAATAAAAATTAATCTGTGGCCAACATTGCTCGAGTGAGATCAAAACTTAGTTTTGTAGTTGTTTCTTAATTTTTCAAAAGGGACTTATCGTAAAATATTTAATCAAATCTAAGTATTCTTACTACTGTGCTCATGATGCTTTCGGGAATTAACAGTTCGCAAGAGGAGATATCGACCGAGTGCTAGTATATAAAAATAGCACTATGGATTTTGTGCAATTTTCTGTATTCTTCTTTATCAGGAAAGGTCAAATCAAAACATTTGAACGCCAGGGACGTATAATCACGAAGACACTTAAGAAGCTATTTGACCAAAGGGAAATTTAAAAGAATATCTTCGTAGTTATGGTAACTTTTGCCTTAATTTTTGTTTAAAATGTGTCGACTCCCTTCAATTCCGGTGGTAAACATGTACTGAGTGATAAGGGTGCTTTGTATAACATGGTCTTGTTTTTGTTGAAATTTAATGTTGAACTTAATTCTGCTTTGAAATAGACTTCAATAACTGCATATTTGCATTGGTCAATACTTTGCGCTTTTTGTCATTTCGATTTTGTCACATGTTTGTTCGGTTCTGAACGGATGGGTCAAGTCAGTTGTTTTTACAGTTTATCTTATGTTGTAATGTTACAAAACTGTCACAGGTTGAAGATGTTGAGATCTTATAAGCATTTTCAAAACGGTCACATTATTAATGTATATGACCACAGCAAGAAATATGTAGTCAATTATATATACTATTATGGTTAGATTTACTACACTTTAATTTTTTCCCTTGTAATTTACCAGCGTATTTGTTAAAGCTATTACATTTAAATTAAATGAAATACTATTTTAAAACCAATGAACAATTCAAAAGTGTACGTTGACGTTTTCACCTCTACAAGTATTTAATTATCTACCAGTAAACATCGGCGATCATACCATACATTCAGATTGACCATTACCTCTACCATGGTCAGATAGGGATATTGGCCATTTTACGAATACTTTCTTTTGGTCATAAAACAGCGTTTGTCCAATATGCGTAAAGGTTCACACCTGTTTGAAAAGTTAGCTGGAATTAATATATCTCTATCGTTATTTATTACCTATCTCGTTTGAATTTCTGTCATGATGGCAGAAAATAAATCTGCTTTTAAAAAATCGCATTCAATAAAAATGTACCTTGAGACAGTCCCTATTTATTCAATGCAAAAAGAGGGACGAAAGATACCAGAGGGACAGTCAAACTCATAGATCGAAAACAAACTGACAACGCCATGGCCAAAAATAAAATAATAAACAGACAAATAATAGTACAGATGACACAACATAGAAAACTAAAGACTAAGCAACACGAACCCCACCAAAACTAAGGGTGATCTCAGGTGCTCCGGAAGGGTAAGCAGATCCTGCTCCACATGTGGCACCCGTCGTGTTGCTTATGTTATTACAAATCCGGTAAATAGTCTAATTCGGTAAGTCACATTCGTAAAAAGGGAAGGGTATTGTAGTTACGACATGAGGAACATATCCGATATCATCTGTGAAACGGTTATTCCATAACGGTCAACCAACTCGTGATGGCGTCCGTAAAATTTAAGAAGGGATGATTTCAACTTCAGCATTTGGAACTCTTGGGTTAATAGCTTCCTTGTGAGCAGCAATCCTCTATCAAGGAAATCATGATAGGAAACACAAGCCCGGGAATATCGTATCAATTGGGAGATATATACTCCGTATGCAGGCGCTGCTGGAATGTTGCTACATAGAAATGAAAAGTTCACAATTGGGAAGGTGAAATCATCTCTTTTGTCGTAAAAATTTGTTTTCAACCGACCCTCATTGTCAACTTCTAGATGTAAATCAAGATATGAGGCAGATTTAACTGTATCTGTAGTATCCTTTATCTCTAGTTCGACGGGATAGATTCGTTCAACATAGTCACCAAATTTTGTATTATTTAGTGAGAGAACATCATCTATATATCGGAACGTAGAGTTAAAGGATATTGCTAACTTCTTATCTTTCTTCCTAAGAAGTTCCTGTATGAAGTCAGCTTCATAATAATAAAGAAACAAGTCGGCAAGAAGAGGGGCATAATTGGTTCCCATTGGAATTCCGACAGTCTGTTGAAAAACACGTCCTCCAAGGTAGTTTTAATTTCTAACGTACAGTAGTCATGTTAAACTTCATGAATCATTAAACAGATCTCTATATTAAGTTTGTTAGACTGATCATGCGCAATTACAAAATTATGTTTGTTTGATAAAAAAACAACTTTCTATTTTATTCAATAAAAGTAGATATAAAGGAACATTCAGTTAACTATCATGCTGCTATTTGATAAAATTACGTTGATGTGACATTCATAAATGAAATAGATGGAAACGTTCTTTTGGTTATATTGAAGGCCATTTTACATATGTCAGTAAACACACAAGTAAAATATTTTTTTTTTTCACAGGAACAGGTACACGGATAAAGGTGTCTTTCATTTTAAATTTGAATTTTTTTTTCTCGATATAATTTTGAATCGTAGGTTCTTTAATAAATTTTCAATAAAACACTGATATTTCAAAAGGTATACTGCTATAAAAATAAGCAATTTATTCTCTCTATCGTATCTTAGAAAGTTCACGAAGACATACATAGAATTAACATTCGTTCACTCGTATTCAATATTGATTCCCAGCACAATCGAATAAACTAATTTCAGATGTAAGGGTATTTTTATCGGTTTATGGGTGTTAATAAAAAAGAAGATGTATTTAATTACGTGTGAAAAGGGAACACAGAAACATGTCTAACGAAGCAAAAATATCATTGTAGGTTAAGTGTCCGATTGTGTTCAGTTTTTTTTCGAGTGAATTGATGTATTTTGTTCATGGGATATGACCACATTTTTTCCCGTGTGAATTCAAATGCTGTAAAATGTAAACAAACAAACTTAATTTCTAGTTTGACATCAAACCCAAGCTCGAAATATATGCATAATCTTCGGAAGTGTTAAAAATAGAACTTTATTCTTAACTATTCCTGATTGTAAGTAAGAAATTAATATGCCTTTAATATGTTTTAATTCCAACATACTCGATGGGAAATTCTGCGTAATTATAAAAAAAAACATTTAATGTCTTTAAAAATGATTCTATTTTTTTACAACGGCATCATTACAACAACTTTAATAAACGGGACGTTGAACGGTTGTTTACCTTCCATAAAGAATGAAAATAACACTTTATGTATGACGTGCGCCTGAATCAATTTTTTAAACTTAATCTTTTTAGGAACACTTCAACCCATATGTTGTAAAGCCAGGGATTTATAAATTTATGAAACGTAAGGAACAAACGACAGAAAGGA